CTATTTGGTTTTACTGCTGAATAACAGCAGCCTTGACTTCATTATTCCAGTATTTGCTTGGTTGTGTTTTGGGGTTTTTTTATGAACCTGCTAAAAAATGCTAGGCACTCTGCAAAGCAAGCGAAAAAGATGCCTATTTAGAGAGTGAGTAAAAGGAGCAGAGTTTAGGTACAATTTGTACCCAGATGGAGATCCAGGAAGCCTCCAAGCCAGGTGACGTGCTTAGGGTTGTCTACAGCACTCGGGACTGGCCTACTTCTGCTCTGCAAGAAAGCCATGGAAAGTCTACCCCTGGGTTCAATGGAAGCAAACTAGGTCAAGGCTGAGTTCCTCTGAAACCTCAACCTTAGAGAAAATAAGCACAGAAGGAGTACGTGAGCACACCCATGTTGCAAAGGTACGTTCACTAATTGCTTTGGTGGTCTTGGGATGTGTTTTGGAAATTACTTGGCTTTCATATTGCTTCATGTTCTGACTCCATTGATGAGGCTCTGCTGAAACTACAACGACTTGCTGCAAGGGGTAGAAGCAACACGAGTTATATAGCTTGTACCTGAATGTATGAAATCACTTGCAGCTGGCTGCTAATTTAATTTCATGGTGTGAATTCATGACGCACAAATCCTAGAAGTTACTGCATTTTTTGCAACTCCTAATTAAGCTTTTGGGGACTATTATACTTATTCTCACGCCTACTGCATGCTGGCATTGCTTATTACTCTTCTTCCTTTACTTTCATGGGAGCCTAAGCTATCCTAATCCATAGAGAAAAACAAGACCTGGCAGTTCTGCTCCTCTAGGAGCAGATTACTTTAAACCTCTGGCCATTAGAAATGGATGCAGAAGCTTGGGAGAGAAGGAACCCCTGATCCGAGGTTAAATAACAGCCCTGCTCAACACTGAAATCTGTTTTTGGCAATTACTGCATGCTGTCTAAATAACCTACTTTGCCAGGCCCAGCCCAGAAACATCAGTGAAGGGGGGAAATAAATAAATAAGTAAATAAATAAACAAGCGTCTTTTCTTACAACTCAGAAAAGATGTGGTCGATCTCAGGCCGGGGGCAGAGGTTGTTTAAGAATACCCTGTACACGTCTGGCGTGAAGTCGTCTTGAGGGATTGAATCATTCTGCAAAATGGGGAGAAAATAGTGAAAGAACAAATACAGCACTTTTGTATGCTCTTTGTAAACAGATCACTCACTATGGCACTCTGGATTTGCTTCCTGCAACCTAGAGGAGCCTGGATTTCGCAGAATACTGAATTCCCCTGGATAACAGAGCAGCTTAAAGAGTACATCTTTAAAAAAATATAAATACTTTCATCATCTTAGTTTCCATAAGGCAAAGTCACCTCTTTCTCTGAGCACCTGTGAAGAAGAAAGGAAAGACACCGCTCCATCTAACCACATTATCTGTAGTATAAATAGGTACATCAATCCCAGTGAAGGCTCCCAGCGGGGTGGCCGACCAGTGGTGCTGAGCCCACGTGCTTCACCGAGCAAAATGGCAGCGTCACAGAGGATGAGCACGTCACACGGGAATGATTGGGTCACCGAGTCATTATTAATACACTTGTTCTCTGACAGCAACAGAAATGTTTCCTTTTCCTTCCTAAAGACACATGTTCAACATACCGTGATTCTGGGGCAAGACTTTTCCATACAGCTTTGTCCTAAACACTCGGTGTAACACATCTGGCAATCAGATTTCTTTCACAGAAATTGATAAAAATACTCTACTATAGAAGAGACACAAGCATTTTTTTCTCACATTTTCTAACATTTAGAACAATTTACATTTAATCCTGCTTCTAGATGATACTTTCATCATTCCTATTATATCTGTTGGCTTTGTTTAAAAAAAAAAAATCTTTTTTTTTTTTAACTGGAGGGAATTACTGGACTGGGTAAGGAAAACAGTTCTTTGCATGAAGCTCAAGAGCTATCCTCCCACTCACATGTGCTGCCTTCACGCTCCAGAGTTTTTGCAGAAGAGAGCAAGGGCTGCTTCTTTAGCGGGGCTGGGAAGAAGTGAGGACCCCAAGGAAGGTGCAAAGCTTTTTTCAGCACAGAACAGTAGCGATGTGCTCCAAGAAAGAAAAATAGCACAGAAGCTTTTATTTTGTGCAGAGGAAACTTTATAAAGGAACAAGAAAAAGGAAAATGCAAAAAACCCACAAAATACAAATACTGAAAATCTAATTTTTTAGTTTCTTCCATACAAGCTATCTTTATCAAAAGCTATGACCTGTAGTCTTCAGGAGCACCATGGGCCCGTGTGATGCCTTTCCACAGCTCCAAAATAATGCCTGAATGTGATGAAGCGGAGGAAGAAAACTGTAACTTGGACACAAAGCCATTTGCTTTTAAATGCCATTGAACCTGGTCGTCTCAGAAGCAAACTGCTGAGAGAGGAAATCATTGTTTTTATTTATTCCGCCTGTTCAACGCCGTTGCCAAGGGAATCGGAAGCATCAATTCAAGTCTTTGGTAGACGGAAGGAAACTTTTCCATATTTTTCCTGCTTTAGGTTAAAATAAATAAATGCATACCACGGGCATCACTTTATCTCTCCTTTCATCTATGAAACCCGCAGAGGCCCTCTGAGAGGCTTTTGTACTGTGACCATTGTTCAGTGTTTCTGTCCGCAAGCACGGACTGAACCTGATCCAGCTCACGCTCGGGCAGAGCGTCCATCTCCAGGCTTCAACGATCCGAGGTCACCAGCTCTCAGGCCCTTCTGCCTTCCTTTTTTTTTGGCAGACTGTGCAAGTGGCTGCAGGGTGAACTGGTTCGAAACTCACCTGGCCAAAACAACACCGTGCACTCCACCGTGGGATCAGCTTGCTGAGCCAGGGAACTTGCCCACAGCGCAGCTGCTAAATCCAGCGCAAGGGTGGATGGAGAAGTTTATAACCTGAAGTCGGAGGATGGAAAAAGCTCCTTTCGGCGACAGCCATCGGTGACACAGAACTATGTGTGAAACTGCACCTACTACACTTCGATAAATCTGAGCTGTGGTGCTTTCAGTTGAGAGTAGGCTGCTGATACTTATGTTTTCCTAAAGGCCAGGATTCATAAAGCTTGTGAATTTTCTTGTTATAGCCAGCACCCCGCGCTCTGTTCCCCGTACCTACGATCCCTACTCAGTAGGCTGCTGCTCCTTAGCCAGCACTTATCCTAAGGGCATTTTAGATGTCGATTCTGTAATTACCACAAAATTACAGACTCCCGTTGACCTAATATATTTTTTCCTTTACAGGGGATTTGAAGGTACTCAGCACTGAACAGAACGTGGGTCTTTTCCGATAACCCAAGATCCAGGCTTTTATTTGCCACTAGGTTACAATGAAGAAAATATATATATCTGTTTCGCAACGGGTATCTACAAACACCTGTCTGCAAAGAGGATAGCAAACACAAGCCTTCAGGCATAAGTACAGAACCTTTTAATAACTATTTCCTACTGGTAACGTCATCGGTGGGCTACAAAACACAGATCTGGATGGGAGATCAAAGCCTTGCTGCAAGCACGCGCCACCCCAGGCACAACCTCAGCCAACTTTATTTGGATTCCAAAAACCTGCCAAAAGTGATTAAAATATACTGCCCCTTTCCTCAGCCCGGTTTGAGCCGTCCACATTTCAGTGGAACCACCCACATACCTTATGCACTAATCTCTTTTTTGAGACCGATGAACAAATCACAAACTTTCTGTACCACATGGGAGCATCTCTCATTTCCAGCTTTGCTCAATATTGGCATTCAGTTTTATTCTGTGATTAAGACGCTCTACTCATTTCAAGCACTGTTGATTTACGATTTGTCTGGTAACCTGCCTGCGTTTGTAACATCTGTATACAGTCTCTTATGTATTCGGCAGCACAACACCTAATTCAGATTATTTGCACAGACAGGACTCAACAGCTGGTTGTTTTATTTTGAGCTAACAGTCAAGCTCACTGGTGCTTCATTGTGAACCTCTACATTAACTGGAAGGCAGAAACCGGTCTTCACAACCAAACAGGCAACTAAAATAAAGCTCTTCAAATTCTATTTAAGGTACCTTTGACTAAAACCAAAACAAACAAAAACACCCAATGATAACAAAAAGCAACCCCCCTTTCTCCAAAAGTAGCCAAGGTTTTTAAAAAATCATAGGGGAATCAGATGCCAAACTCAAAAACTCATTGGCACATTTCAAAACTTCCTTTAAACATTTATTTAAACATCGCTCTGCTTTCAGATCTGCTGGATGACAAATGCTGCCAAAAATCAGCTCACACAGGGTTTGGTCCTGCAACACTCTACATATTCCAGATTCGACCCAGAAATACATAAATAAATAAATCCACGCTTTGAAAATGTGCTTGAATTGAAGTCCATGGGTCATCCCACTGCAGTCATGCTCAACTGCTCAGCCAAATCAGGGCTGGAGTGCTCAGCACTGCAGAGAATGCATCCCTTATAAAGGTCCCTAAATATGAAATAAAGAGTTTATTTTCAGCACTCTGGGGAGCCTCTCTCATGCTATTCTTCTACAGCAGGATGAAGGCAATTATCCAGGCAATGAGAACTCTGCCTCCTCTCGCACTATATAATACAGTGCCTACATGTTGTCTCACGCGGTCTACTGGCAAGCACACACACAGAGTGAATTTGCTAAAGAGCAGGGTTAGTGGTTGCTGAAGTTTGCACTGTCACAGACAAGTCCATGCAGTGATACTATAACCTGGCAGCATAGCTCAGGCTGCCCTGTCACTGCTGAGGTCACTGTGTAAGATAGATGAGGGACTGTCGCAACCTTGAAGCTATGAATCAGGAAGAGAGTGATGAATGATTGATTGATCCCAAGATTGACTTGGGATCCTCTTACATGTAACTGTGAATTTCATTTTGTGTTTTAGGGTCACGCACAGGTTCTGAGAGGTACAGCAAAAGATCAAGTGAAACTCATGGCAAAAGAGCCTTGTATCTTCCTAAGCCATGAGAAGTTATGTTTTTTCTATGAAACTTGGAGAAGACCCTTACAGATATCTTCATGAGGCATGAATAACAAAAAACACCCAAAAAGCCTAAGCTGTTAACGTCTATGAGAGACTTTCATGAATTCTTTGAATAATTTATTGTGGTTTCACTGAGGAAGATTCCTTGATATTCATGTCTTGCACACTGCTGGGAGTCCAGTGCTGTCCAAGGCTTTATGGGAACACCATTTGTCCTGTAGCACAATGGGGCAGAAAAGCTGAAAATTGAAGTTAAAAATTTTACTTGTTCAAATAAACAGAAACACAAAGGAAAAGAGCTGTAGTTGAAGAACTGAGTTTTCTGCTCCATTACCTCCATGAGATTCAGAGTTTCATACTTCTTAAGCACTTAGCTTCTAAAATATTTTTTCTACGACGATCAACAGTTTTCTTTGTTGCATGAAGCATATTTCTCTTTTGTCCCAACCAAAGAAAGCCTCTACTTTATACTATGAATCATTTTCAAGATGGTATCCCAGCAACAAGTATCCAGCAATGTGTATGTAACATTGACTGTACTTAAATAAATAGCAGAAAAAGGTTGCAGTTTCTTTCAAGGACTCCAGTGATGTTTAGATTTTTTTTTAGAGATACATAGTAAAAAGAAGTAATAAATCAACTGATTTAAAAAGCAATGCTTCAGTGACTTTTTGCACATCTTACCTTGTTTGCTAACAACTAAATGAAAACCTCACAACCTTACTTCAGCTAAGATTGTTATACTATTTATACCTAACTTTACAGACATTCCTTGGAATTTCCAAGGAATTAAACTCCCAAGCCTGTGAAGAAAGGTATCATTGGTAAGAGGTATCTGAAGTTTGGCTTGTGAAGATCTTGCTCCATTGTTCTTCTAGAGCCATAGGAACTGGATCTATTAAGAAACCATTGGGGAAGCAAAGGCTGACCAAACATGACAGCACAGAGTTTTCTGCAAGAGCAAGGGATTAGGAGATACAGGCTCTCCTCTTCTGCAGATTGGTTCTGCCCCACCTTTTGGACCTCCAAACGTAGGAATTATCCTGCAAGAAGCTTCCTGGAAGAGAATCTCCATCTGGGAGGGAAGCCTAAGGACATCTCCACTCCATTGTTAACTAGAGTCACCTGCTTGAGCTCATTCCTCTTGAAAAAAACCTTCCTGAGGGTCAGGTACCATCCTGCAAATGTTCTGGGTTGAGGAGAGCTACTGGATTAGCAGCATACAACGGCTGCTATAATGCTAATGCTGTGGGTATGCATTGTACTAACAGCTTTGACACTATAGCATTTCAACATTTACTCCATGCACCTTTTAGATAAACTACAGTGAGTTTAACTGTCACTTAACTCAAGCTATAGTTTTTTTTGGTTTGTTTTTTTAGAAGGAAACAGATTACACCATTAGCTACATCTTGAGCTAACATTCCTCTGAAATCATGCCTTGCAAATTGTGCAACAGTCACTGATTTTTAAAATACTCTCATAGGATTTTTCTAGGACAGGTCACACAACCCCCTGCTCCTTCCTTTAATCCATTTGCATTTCTTCCAGGCACTCCTGGTCCCTACATAATTTCAAATCAAAGGAACTCAGATTTGCAAATGGGTATCAGGAACTTCTGTGTGGGAAAGACAGACTTGCTGCTGAGGACCCATCCAGAAGCAAAGCCAGCACAGCATGATCAGCCTTGAACAAATTGTCCTCAACTCAGCAGAGAGTAAACACCACTGAATACAAGCAACACTTTGTAAAAGCAAGGAATAAATTCAGATGCTTACCCTGGAAGATGGAAGATTACAAGCTTCTAATGCAGTCTCTACTCGTTTTCTGTCAGCGGAAAACAAGCGGTATATGCTGCAAAATGAAGAGAAACCAGAGGGAATTAGCTTGAAGACATACCTTGATGGCCCCTGTGCCTTAAAGACTGAATATCACTTCCCAGTCATAGAATCACAGAATCATTTAGGTTGGAAAAGACCTTTAAGATCATCAAGTCCAACTGTTAACCTAGCACTGCCAAGTCTACCACTAAACCATGTCCCTAGGCCATGTCTATATGTCTTTTAAATACCTCCAGGGGTGGTGACTCAACCACTTCCCTGGGCAGCCTATTTCAGCGCTTGACAACCCTTTCGGTGAGGAAGCTTTTCCTAACATCCAATCTAAATCTCCCCTGGTGCAAAACTTGAGGCCGTTTCTCCTGTCCTAGCACCATTACTTGGGAGAAGAGACCGACACCCACCTCGCTACACGTGCGTGTGTCTAATTGGTGTAGCAGGTCACTAATTATGGGGAGTCACAAATTATGGGGACTTCATTCTGCTCCCCATCCCTGTCTTCCAGCTCAGGGGGCTGGGTACCCAGAGAATTGGCCTTACTATTAAAGACTGAAGCAAAGAAGGCATTAAGGCATTACCTCAGCCTTTTCCCCCCACATGCAATAAAAGATATCTATCACAGCTTTAGATATTTATTTCCATTTGTTGGCTGCTCAGTAAAACAACTGAGTTTAATAGTGCCCACAATGGGTTTAACTCAACCCCACACAAGCCCCTATTACACCAGATAGTTATTTGAGAAAGTTACCACTGCTCTCCTCACATTACGCCAGCGACATGCAATTTGAATACGTTTATCCTCACAACATGTCTCCGAGGTAAAGAAACTTGGGGTTTTTTATATTTTATTTTACACAAGTGGAACAAAGGCAGAAAAGCTAAATGTCTCAAGACCACAAGGGCAATCTATGCCCAAAGGGTATTTGAGCAGAGACATCCTGGCCACTGTTTCCTGCAATACGCGTTATAAATAGAGGATAAAACTATTATTCTAGACACAGGGGTCCCATATTCATCCTAAACTTATATTCACATTCAAAAGTCAGAGGAGACTACATGGTAAGGAAGGAGAACAGAACTTACTTCTTCAGTGGAATGCGCCCTTCTGGAGTCACCTGCAGCTTAAGTTTTGTGTAGCTGTGGAGAGAAAAGCATCCTGGTTTATTTTTACAGCATTTTCAACTACCTTTCCACCAACTTAATAGCTCAATGCTACTGCTCTGATCATGTGGCAAGTTCCGCTCAGCTCTTTTGCCCAAGATGAAAACCTGTTGGGATATCGTTAATAAGTAAATACCTTTTCCATCAACAGTAACGCTCCTGTAGTGTCAAATACTGTCTGTCTTGCAACAGGACATTGCAAATATCATTAGTGCACAAGTGTATCATCCCCCAGACTGCCTGCCAGTCTACCAGCAGACTGAATTGTGGCACACAAGCTACACAAGTTGCCTGGAAAGGTGGCTATACCCTTCCTCTTCCAGGGACTGAAATTGGCCCTGGATGTTGCACACCAACATCCCTGCCTCCCTAAGCCCTGTGAAGGTTTCTTCATTTGACCCTAAACGTGTTCACTCCTCAGCTGGAAGAAGTCAAATGAACTGAAGTGTCTCTACACCAGCAAGAGTGTCAGTATATTTAGCAGCCCTGGGCAAGCCCAAGACATTTCCAGCGTGAAGCAATGTAAAAATTACATGCTGAAACCATCTACAGGCAGGCAATTATCCAGTTTTTGAACTGAGTATTTAGGGCACCTCGATATCTCAGGACCTGTGACTTCTCTCACATGCTCATTAAGGCAGCAGGATGAGGACGTACCTTCCAAATCTTTCAACATACTGATTCAAAACCTACTGAAACAGGAGTCATCCAGTAGCGTTAACGAGAAGCTGTTGGGCCTACAGCTGCTATCTGATGATCCTCCTGGTATGCGAGGACTACTGGTTACCAGCATAACGCTTACCAGCAGCAGCCTGCAAAGAGCTGCTTTTTGAGTGCTTCATCTCTTCCACTTGAATATAATTAAAACTATTCATGAGTTTTGCAGTAATATGATCTGGTGAAAAATGTGGCAATACTTAAATATTTCAGAGGAATTTTTTTGTTGTTGTTAAAACAAAACAAAAACACAAACCAAAAAACACAAACTTTTTAAATTTACCCACTGGCCTACCAAAAGAAAAAGAAACTGCATGGTTCTAATAAACTTTTCTTTTCTTCCCAACCAAAAATGCCATTAGCAACCGCTTCAAAAACAAAGTACGTGCTAATATCCCTAACTAGGATAGGAACATTTTCACAAATCCTTGTCGCCTCATATGCATCATCTGGAAACTGCAATCTCTTGTGCTACTGTGTCACCAAACAAAAATATTGTCCCCTCGGTCCCATCTCCCAGCACTGAACTAGATTAAAAAGAAAAAATCAAAGTGGTTAGTAAAAAACCTTTCTTTTATTTCGCCTTCTATTTTTTAAAACATTTGAGTACATTCTGGTCACATTTAATGTTTTTCTGTATAGCCAAGAAAGCTGGAAATAAAAGAAAATGGGGAAAAAAAAATACTGAACTTCAGTTAAAGCAAATAAAAAATGTGTGTCTGAAGAACAGTCAACCCCCACCAGTACTTGCCACCTTTTTTCCTCCCAAATTCTTTGTTACAGGAGGGACACTATTTTTTCCCCTGCAGCCATTATCGACCCATGTAAGAAAACCAAGCATATTATTCCTGGTAAAAAGCCTGTTAGGAGATACTCCTGTTGGCAGCAGCCGCACAGACTCATTTCAGTAATGCAGTGCTGACTCCAAGGACGACAAAAGCTGGATGTAACGCTGACCCAAGGTTTCCACAGTAGAGTGACCCTTTGCTCAATACTGCACGGGTCAGTATTTCAGTAGTAATGTACTCCTGTGTCCATTTTTGCACCCCGACACAAAAATACACTGCGTGGTTACAACAGAGGAATGAGCACTTTATAACCAAAATGACAGTTTTTATTAACCACCCCTCCTCCGAAATTAACCCCATTTTTCTCATCTGACCGAATCACAGGAGAGCTGCTCAAGCTGTTTGGTATTGCACTTCCAACTCTGCCAAGGACTGAATGCCACAAAGAAAACAACTTTTCTAATTCTGCTCTAATGCAATTTGCTATTCTATTTCAACAAAAGGGTTCTGACTGGACTGCAACCAACCCTTTCCTTAGTACAGTAATTATAACAGGGAAATAATTTTAATCTTCAAAGTCAAAGAGTTCTTAAGTGACTCTGATTTGGCATCTGTGCAGAGGACCCTGGAAACCCTACAGTGATTTATTAATTAGTGGAAAAAGACACAGGAAT